CCAGTGAGGGAAGCAGACTCAGCTGGGGAATAAGCACTGTGATGGAGGTTTCAGTGTGAGGTACTAGTGCGATATCCAGATGATAGCTAATAAAATACATTGCATAAAACCTTCCTTCCTCATTAGCAAATGAGCACATTAATAGGGAGTGCTTTATTGAAATACCTCACCATGAGAGTCAATTTTCCTCTAGCTCAGTGCTGGGACATAGTAAGATCTCAACAAGGATTTGGAAAATGAATGAATGCATAAAGTAATGAATACATTTACTATGATATCTCCCACGTTGACTGCAATTATTTCTATGTGTCTATATCTCCCATTAGCTGTGAATTACTTGAGAAGATATCCTTATATCTCTAGAATTTATTAAGTGACCAGTGGATAAAATATATTTATTTAGTGCTTATTTGTTGACAGTTATGAATTAGTGAATTACTGAAGGAGTTAACTAGCCAGATTGTCTCCCAGAGTTTACTGTTTTGGTGAAGAGTATGCGAAGCAATTTGGGGAAGACGTTATCTCTTTGCAGTTCCTGGGGTACATTTTTAGTGTGCTAAGGCAGCCATAACAAAGAACCGAAAGATGGATAGCTTGAACAGTAGAAATTTATTTTCTCACAGTTACAGAGGCTAGAAGTTTGAGATCAAGATACTGGCAGCGTTGGTTTCTTTTGAGGCCTTTATCCTTTGCTTGTAGATGGCTGTCTTCTCCCTGGGGTTTCGCATGGTCTTTCCTCTGTATATATCTGTGTTTAAATATCCTTTTTTCCAAAGGACACCAGTTATATTGAATTAAGGCCCATTCCAATAACTTCATTTTTAATTACTTTTTTAAGACCCTATCTCCAAATATAGTCACATTCTGAAGTAGTGGGGTTTAGGACTTCGACATTGGTGCTGAATTGGGCCTTTCCAAAATCCCTATCAGGTAACACTTGGAATTCCTGGAGTCTATATGGCCTCTTAAGCCATTTAAAGACATCTTGAGTTCCAGACGTTATCAAACATTATCAAACAATCTGACTTGTAATCATCTTACTGTTTATATCCTTAAAATTCCCTAGTTCCTTACTGTTCTATCAGGATATTATTCAATTGGAGAATATAATATAATTCATTAAGATTACTATGTTAATTTCTAATACTTTTCCAAGTACAAATTGAAAGTACCTAAAGACAAAAAATGTGTATTGTGAGGAATGTGTATTCTAATATTTTGGAAATTCAAAAATATGAGAATACTCTAGATTCTTCAAAGAATCAGTATAACTATTAGATTTGTTTTCTGTTTTTCAATAAGGAAAGAATTCATATTTTTAAAAACAATAAGCATAGATTAATTAGTAATACTTCTGTAAATCAGTGTTCTCATGTTAATGATGAAACATGATATAAGGACCAAGTATTTATTCTGAAGAACTCATCCCATTTGTTTAATGTTGACCTCAGGGCGAACATTTCTAGTTAAGTTGAAGTTTCAGATGCAGAGCTATTGTACTGACTCTAAGACAAAGGTGAGGCATGAGGGGAAGAGAAAAATGAGTCTCCATGTATTTGGGGAAGGCAGGAAGCCAAAGGAGAGATATGACAGATTGGGTGAGCTGACTCCCTTCACTATTCACCACCTTGTATTGTGGACAACGTTCTACTTCTCAGCAGACGAAACCTGTGGGGCTCAGGGGAGTCATGAAATTTAATCTCCAATTTCTTAGGTTGCATTTTATCCTAGTTGCTGATGATTCTTTTCTTTTACCTCAAATGAAGCAGTCAGTATAAGCTCCTGAAACCCAGAGTTTTTTCTATTAAGGAAAGATCCTACTGTAACTTGTAAATTCCTTATATCTCTATAATAAAGATCTCAAATGTAATTTTTCATTAAGGTAAGAGTTTTTTGCATCTAATTTTGCAAATAACATAAGCTTTGGGAGAAGTATTCTCTCCCCTTATTCTAGTTTAACCTGCTCGTTGGGCCAAAGAATCTAAATTTTTTTTCAGTCCTTACCCATTTTACATAAACTACACTTCGTGTAGCAGCAAGACCCATCTAAAATCAGCATGTATGTCAGATAGGAGAATATCTACGTAGAGTAATTTATACAGTGAGTCAATTTAAATGCCTCATTTAAATTTCATGGAAATGGTCTTGCTTGTCCAGCAACTGGCTGTGGAATCGGTGAGGAGGAACTTATTTTCTGGCCCCTCATTTTCTCTTATTGACACTCTCTAAAATCTAGCCTTCAGCACTTCTCTATCCAAACAACACAAAACAAAACTCATTTTCAGACTTAGGTAACTTCTTCAAGCCAATAAATTTCCCTTGCAAGTTAACTGCCATTTGCTAGAGTAGATCCGGTCTAATATTCCTCAAGGCAACTTGCAGGCTGTTCAACATTGAGGATCACATTGCTGTTCTCTGTCCATATTCACTTGTCTATTCACTCTGCTGGGTGCACAGGGGCCTAATCCGCAGAACCCAATTTGGGCACCAAGGCTCAGAGTTTTACAAAGCATGAACGTATTTCTGTTTATCTTAGTCTTTATCTGGCTCTAAAAAGTCCAGGTTTAATTGAAGCAGAGGTATAGTCTTGAGGTCATCTAAATCTCTTCCGTGTAAAAACCTATCATTGATTTTATAGTTTACTAAATAATGGATGGTTTTCTCCTCTGATACTTAAATTTTCCATAATCATACAGCTCTTTGTGGCCTTTTTGAAATCTTTACAAAAAATTGGTAAAACATAAAACCTTAATAACTAACCTTTTTATAAAGTGGACAACAATCTCTGCTTTGCCCAATCTAAATCATAGAGAACTTGCGGCAGGCAGAGGAGAGGCAAATAACTAGCATTTGGCTGCTAGGAAAATGGGCTCTTGGGAAGTCCCTCTGACTTCTGAGACCCAATCAAAAATGCAACTCACTGCTGAATTTGAGAACACCAGCCAGGTCACCCCCATGTTGTAAAAGGAAGACTTGATATTCTGATGACCACAGTGTTAAGCCTTGTTTGTACTTGGGTCTTCCTTACAACATTTTCACAATTCATCTTATTAAATGGTCGGGCCACGTTTAACTTTACACCCGCTTTCTCCAGACTACAGTGTTTGATCATAGATTCATAGATCATTTAACATGAGCAACAGCTACTTCACCAACAGCCTTGCTGTCGTTAAGCAGCAGTTACTGTCAAAAGTTCAGGAACAGGCCCAGCAGGATGATGAAAAGAATCAAGACACAGTGTCTCCCCAACTGTCACAACAGCAGAGACAAGCATCTGGTGTCCAGAACAGCAGGTAGAAAGGGCACCAGCAATGGCGGGCCTCATTCTGAAGCTTTTTGGAGTAGCTGTCCCCAGTTCCCAGCTCTGTCTCAAGGAACCACATAAAACACCACATAGCACAAATTAGAAAGTTATTTTGTCAGAAGTCTCATGGGACCATCAGTTTCAATTAAAGTTTCCCTTGAGAACTAAAAAGAAAATTTTGGTGAATGTACACAGAGGAAAAACAAATTACATACCTTACAAAAAATTTTAAAAACATACCTTTGCTTCTTGAAACCCATGTTCATAATGGAAATGAACAAATCTTTTGTTACATAGCATTTGTTATCTTGGTTTGCATCTGTTCTTGGTATAGTTATATCTTCATCTCTGACACTAGTTTCTGTCATAGTGATATTGTGAAGAATAAATTAGAGAATGCATGAAAAGTGTCTTGAATGGGGCTTAGAACAAAATAGACCTTCCATAAGTGATAACATTTTTTTTTATTCTGAAGAACAAGGAATAAGTTCCCATAAATTTGAATGAAATGGTACTGTATTGTCAAATATCAAACTTCCAGGCAATACAGTAGGTTTTGCTACCAAAGAAATAGACTGAACTCCCAAAATTTGTCTATGTCAGTTTGAATGTATGGGTTGTGCTGAAGGCTCCAGGCCAGCCCACAAAATCATTAGCTTTTATGAATTTAAAATAGTGTTAACTTTCAGGGATAAAAATAAATTCTTCTTAAAGATACCACATCTTTTAGATATCACTGAATAAAAACTAAATGTTGTTGTTAGTACTATATATCTTTAATCTTGATTCTTGAGTAAAACGGCAAGTTTTTTAATTTAAATAATTGACAAGCAAATGAGGTCTTTTGTGAAAATCTTACATGGAATGCATTTAAGGACTTTGAGGCTGGATTTATTTTTTCTATCTTAACTATGACATATTATTGTCCTAGTTTCATTTATTTCCTTTTATCAAAATTTATATTTGGGTTTCCTCAATAAAAGAGATGAGTTGTTTAATAACATACAGTAGTATCTTGATTACAAGACCCATGTCTTATTTAATTTTTCAATGGAAGTGCTAGCATATAGCTGTAGATTTTATATATATACATACATATACATGTTGTATATGTAATATGTTTTATATAAATATATATTTTATAGTACATGTTTATTTTATATAGAGAGAAAAGCTAAAATCATATGAATTCTTAACTATGAAAAACTGAGAAACAGAAGTATAGTATTTATGTGATTCTAATGTGGAGAAATAAAAGAAGTGTTAAAGGTTAGGGTACTATATACTAAACAACAGATAGTACCATAGGACCTTGGCAATTTAGCAGATCTGTTAATTAAAATAACTTGCAATCGCAATAACACCATGGCTACCTTACAAGGGCTTTAATCGGGTTTCTTAAATTTTAACGTTAAGTACATACAATTCACTTGGATACCTTGTTAAAGTTCTGATTCAGTAGGTCTGAGGCAAGTCCCAAGAGTCTACATTTTACATCCTCCCAGATGATGTTGATGGTGACTACACTCTAGGAGCAAGTTTGAGACACACTGAATTACTTAGCCGGTATTTGACATTTACTATTGGCTGGACGAGCAATCTGGACTCAGGCTATCCCTCAGTTACATAATGAGCTCAGTGCTATCATCAAGAACCCCAAATCTTTTTATCCTTCTGCTTTGATACACTCATCGTTTTTGACTTATTACTTGCTGATCACAGATAGCTGCTACAACTCTAAGCATGATGTCATCACACAACCACTTCCAAAGGTGGGAAGCAGAGTGACATGCGTGAGGACTTTGTAAGAGTGTCTCTTCTTTTATCAGGTAAGAAAACTCATTTGCGAAGGCTTACAGCAGATGTCCTTTAATAGCTTATTGGCCAGAACTGATCATAAAACTATTTCCATCTACAGGGGAGGCTGGGAAAGAAAGTAGCTAGACTTCTCAGTCTCTGTAGTGAAGCACAGACCAGGAGAAAGGAGTTGAGAATGGCTATTAGATAATCAATAAACAGGTCATCTATAGAAGCTTTTGTAATGATTGCCCCTTGTGTGGGGTAGATGATCTAAACCTCTGAGTGAAGAAAAGAAAGGGAGAGCATCAACTAATTGATTTGATGAATACATTTTTATTAGTCCATTTTTCATGTTTCAAAAAGCATAGTGTATTTTTGGCAGAAGGTGACAGGTGATTTAGAATCATCTATTTATATTTTTAAAACATTTTCTTTTATTATTGAAGTATAATCACTTTACAATGTTGTGTCAATTTCTGGCATACAGCATGTTTCAGTCATACATACACACATTTTCATTTTCATATTTTTTCATTATAGGTTACTACAGGATATGGAATATAGTTCTCTGTTATATAGTATAAACTTGTTTATCTTTTTTGTATACAGTAGTTAGTATCTGCAAGTCTCGAACTCCCAATTTGTCCCTTCCCACCATTTTCCCCTCCCTGTAACCATAAGTTTGTTTTCTATGTCTGTGAGTCTATTTCTATTTGGTAGATTAAAAAAAAAACCACACAAATGAACTTAAGATTCTACATGTAAGTGATATCATATAGTATTTTTCTTTCTCTTTCTGGCTTACTTCACTTAAATGACAATCTCCAGGTCCATCCAGGTTGCAGCAAATGACATTTTATTATTTTTGTATGGCTGAGTAGTATTCCATTGTGTGAGTGTGTGTGTGTAACACCCACACACATACACACACCACAACTTTACCCATTCATCTGTTGATGGACACTTAGTTTGCTCCCATGTCTTTGCTATTGTAAATAATGCTGCTATGAACATTGGAGTACATGTATCATTTCAAATTAGAGTTCCCTATGGATACACACCCAGGAGTGGGATTGCTGGATCATACGGTAAGTCTATTTTTAATTTTTTTAAGGAAACTCCATACTGTTTTCCATAATTCTTGCACCAGACTACATTCCCACCAGCAGTGCAGGAAGGTTCCCATTTCTCCACACCTTCTCCAGCATTTATCATTTTAGGACTTTTGAATGAGGGCCATTCTGACTGGTGGGAGGTGATATCTCATGGTAGTTTTGAATTGCATTTCTGATAATTAGTGATATTGAGCACTTTTTCATATGTCTATTGACCATTCATATGTCTTCATTGGAGAAATGCTTATTTAGGTCTTCTGCCCATTTTTGGATTGGGTTGTTTGTTTTTTTGTCATTAAGATGTATAAGCTGTTTATATATTCTGGAAATTAAGCCTTTGTCAGTAGCATCATTTGCAAATATTTTCTCCCATTCCATAGGTTGTCGTTTTGTTTTGCTTACAGTTTCCTTTGCTGTGCAAAAGCTTGAGTTTAATTGGGTCTCATTTGTTTATTTTTTCATCTTATTTCCATTGCCTGGGTAGACTCCTGTAGGAGAATGTTGCTAAGATTTATGTCAGAGAATGTTTTGCCTATGTTTTCTTTTAGGAGATTTATTGTGTCTTGTCTTATATTTAAGTCTTTAAGCCATTTTGAGCTTATCTTTGTATATGATATGAGAGAGTGTTCTAACTTCATTGATTTACATGCTGCTATCCAGTCTTCCTAACACCACTTGCCAAAGAGACTGTTTTCTCCATTGTATATTCTTGCCTCCTAGGTTGAAGATTAATTTGACAGTAAGTCTGTGGGTTTATGTCTAGGCTCTCCATTCTGTTCAGTTGATCCATATGTCTGTTTTTATGCCAATACCATTGTAGTTTTGATTATTGTAGCTCTGTAATATTGTCTGAAGTCTGGGAGGGTTATTCCTCTAGCTTCCTTCTTTTTCTTCAATAATGCTTTGGCAATTCTGGGTCTTTTGTGATTCCATATAAATCTTAGGATCATTTTTTACAGTACTGTAAAAAAAATGTCCTGGGTAATATGATAAGGATCACATTAAATCTTTAGATTGCCCAAGACAATCAATAAGGCAACAGAGATCCTAAATGAGACAATAGAACAGTTAGACTTAATAGATACTTTCAGGACATTACATCCAAAAAATACACAGAATATACATTCTTTTCAAGTACACATGGAACATTCTCTAGGATAGACCACAGACTCAAACACAAAACAAGTATCAACAGATTTAAGAGGATAGAAATTATTTCATATACTTTTTGTGACCACAGTGGCGTGAAACTAGCAAGCAACCACAGAAACAGAAATGGGTCAGGGGGGAATTATTCCATGGAGACTAAACAACATGCTATTAAAAAAAAAAAGAGTCAATGATGAAATCAAATTGGAAATTTAAAAATACCTTGAGACAAATGACAATGAAAACATAACCAGACAAAATCTATGCAATGGAGTAAAAGCAGTCCTAAGAGGGAAGTTCATAGAGCAGTATAGGCCTTCCTTAAAAAGCAAAACAAAATCGCAAATAAACAACCTAACCTACCACCTAAAAGAATTAGGAAAAGAACAACAAACAAAACCTGAAGTCAGCAGAAGGAAAGAAATAATAAAGATCAGGAAGCAAATAAATTAGACATTTAAAAAAATAAGAAAAAAAAATCTGTAAAACCAAGGCTGGTTTTTTGAAAGAGTAAGTTTAAAAAGCTAAAGCTTTAAACGTTCTTAGAAACAATGAACAGTACACACATGTAAATTTTAAAAATATGTGCAGTATATTGTGTATATGTATGTACGTGCAATATATTATATATGTGCAAATTGTACCAATTCTACCTAATACAGAAAAATGAAAAACAAAAAATATTAAATGTAATGCAAACACAACTTTTTCTACCTGTGTTTACTAGTCAAATAAGCTCATGCTATCTGTTACAAGAAGAAAAATATGATGGAGTTTAGACATCAAATAGCTAAGTATAACTGTTAAAAACAAGTAATTTAAATGATTAAATAAGATAAAAGTTTATATTAAGTTAAGCTAAATAATAGATATTCATAGCATATTTAGATTTTTTCCAAATAATGTATTGAGACATTGACTGATAAACATAAGTTTAAATTGATCTACTTTTGGCTTTTTAATTTTTATAAAGAGACAAAAGATATTTGGATCTGTTAATAAATGTCTTTTAGAGACATGTTTTTTATAG